ACAGAAAATGAACTTTGATAGAACCAGATGAGTTCTGCAGTAAAGGAATGATCAGCATCAGCAGGACCTGCTCCCTCTTTAATAGCCCCATATGGCCAGTGCAAGAGTCTAATGGAGAGTGGAGACTAACCGTAGACTATCGTGGCCTGAATGAAGTCACACCACCATTGAGTGCTGCCGTACCAGACATGCTAGAACTTCAGTATGAACTAGAGTCAAAGGCAGCCAAGTGTTATGCCATGATTGATATTGCCAATGCATTTTTCTCAATTCCTTTGGCAGCAGAGTGCAGGCCACAGTTTTCTTTTACTTGGAGGGGTTTCCAGTACAGTTGGAACCAACTGCCCCAGTGGTGGAAACACAACCTCTCCTGCTCTGAAAGACTCGGGGGAGAGTGAGTGAACGAGCTGTCTGGCTGGGTTTAAACCATGACACCCTTACAGAACCCCCTATACAAAATGGCATTAAAGAATAAAAGGCAAAAACTGTCAAGATAGGGAGGTAATTTGCTTCTCATTTTTGGAGAAGAAAGCTTCCGCTTTTTAAGACTGAAAGGCAGGGAATAGTTGTTGCTCATTGCCTTACATGTTGAGGGCACTCTGACTCTAAGTAATACCAAATAATAAACATACAGACAAGAAATAACTATGTGGAAAAAATGCACTGACACTTAAGAGTTGATCAGGAAATTGCACAGGAAATCCTCAGAGGACACAATATTTTACACTGAGGGCTTCACAGATCATACCAAACTTCAGTCATAAAGGAAGAGGAATCTATCCTGGAAATTAACAGTGTAGCATGAGCCAATTCTAGTGATACGGAACTCATGTCTCAACAGTTTCTGTCACTGACAGGTAGAAGTTCCTGTTAGAAACTGAAGCAGTCTAGGGGCTGAAGTCACTGCTCTCTACAACTTTGACAATATTGGAAGGTAAAGAGCCGACAACAGAGTGAAGTACTCCAGTGAGAGAAAGAGCTCATCTAAAACAAGGCAATGTATTATTAGACAGATACTACAGATATCACAAGGGTCATCAGACTTGACTTCAAGAGTGATAAGAGCATTTGTCAGAAGACACTAAGTCTCAGCTGGAGCAGAAATCTTCCTTGAAGCAAACTGCAGGATTAAGGTCAGAAACAGACCTTTTCTGTTTCTGGAATGATGAAGCTTTTACGATAGAAGCCTGACTGCCTGGGTCAAAGCTGATGATAAGGAAACTTTCTGGAGTGGTTTCCTACTGCTGAGACTGAAAAGTCCACATAAAGAGAGAACTTGGACAGCCAGCTCTCTGACTAAAAGGAAAAATATAGCCTTTATAGAGTGTATGTGGTTTATACCCAACAGACCTTAATAGCGAATCCAAGGAAAACTAGACTTGCCCAAAGCTACAAAAAAGGAAAAATTAAGTAAAATGAAACACCAAGATCAAAATGAACACAAAAATCACAAAGGAGCAAACAAATGAAGTGAAAAAAAAGGCTGAGGTAATCTCAAACGGGAAGCTTCACAGACAACTGAAGAAGCAACTGTAGATGTGTTTTTTACCCTTTGGGGAATTTATACGAACATATGTTTTCCAAGTACTAAGAGAGGTTAAGTACCACCAGCTTGAACACTTGCACATGTCTCACATCTATTACCTCATCTAAATAACAAGCATGTACCATAATTCACAGCTAAATTGAGGAAGTGTGGTCTGGATGATCAGGTAGTGAGGTGGACTGTGAACTGGCTGAAGGAGAGAAGCCAGAGAGTTGTAGTCTATGGAGCAGAGTCTAGTTGGAGGCCTGTAACTAGTGGAGTGCCTCAAGGGTCAGTGCTGGGACCAGTATTATTTAATATATTCATCAATGATTTAGATGAGGGAATTGAGTGTACTATCAGCAAGTTTGCTGATGACACTAAGCTGGGAGGAGTGGCTGACACGCCAGAAGGCTGTGCTGCCATGCAGCGAGACCTGGACAGGCTGGAGAGTTGGGCAGGGAATAACTTGATGAAATATAACAAGGGAAAGTGTAGAGTCCTGCATCTGGGCAGGAACAACCCCAGCTTCCAGTATAGGTTGGGGAACGACCTGCTAGAGAGCAGTGTAGGGGAGAGGGACCTGGGGGTCCTAGTGGACGACAGGATGACCATGAGCCAACGCTGTGCCCTTGTGGCCAAGAAGGCGAATGGCATCCTGGGGTGTATTAGAAGGGGGGTGGTTAGTAGGTCGAGAGAGGTCCTCCTTCCCCTCTACTCTGCCCTGATGAGACCGCATCTGGAATATTGTGTCCAGTTCTGGGCCCCTCAGTTCAAGAAGGACAGGGACCTGCTGGAGAGAGTCCAGCGCAGGGCAACGAAGGTGATTAAGGGAGTGGAGCATCTCCCTTATGAGGAAAGACTGAGGGAGCTGGGTCTCTATAGTTTAGAGGAGACTGAGGGGTGACCTTATTAGTGTATATAAATATATAAAGGGGGAGTGTCACGAGGATGGAGCCAGGCTCTACTCAGTGGCAAACAATGATAGGACAAGGGGTAATGGGTACAAACTGGAACACAAGAGGTTCCACTTAAACTTGAGAAGAAACTTCTTCTCAGTGAGGGTGATGGAACACTGGAACAGGCTGCCCAGGGAGGTTGTGGAGTCTCCTTCCCTGGAGACATTCAAAACCCGCCTGGACACATTCCTGTGTAACATTATCTAGGTGTTCCTGCTCCGGCAGGGGGATTGGACTAGATGATCTTTTGAGGTCCCTTCCAATCTCTAGCATACTGTGATACTGTGATAATATTTCATCTATTAGTCCTGCATTTAGAATAACCTATTTAACTACAACATCCACAAAGAAAGAAAACCCATCTTGATATGGCAACCCAATGCATATATAGGCAAAATATTTTAGCACTAGATTACCCTTAAAACATTGTGGTTTACTGCTATTTCAACTCACCTAAGGTAAACCTAGCTTCTGGATTTTATTTTGCCTTTAGCTAGTGAAGACCTATTTACCATCTCAAATTTCCTTCTCACAGATACATTATTATGTATAACCCTCAAACAAATTGTTTCTTTACTTGCTCCTAAATACTCTCCATGGATTGAACTTCTCTAAGATTTCACTATAAATTCTTTGGGGCAATCCTCAAAATTATTTCTCTTAGCTTCTAGAAGATAACTCCTTTAAACACTGAAAATATAATTTCCTTCCATCTTATTAGTATAGAACATTTCTTGAAGACACATTTCCATAATAAATAAATTTTTATGTGCAACTAATAGGATAAAATATTCCAGATAAATGGACAGTTTGCATACGAACATTTAAATTAAGGGAAGAGTTATATAACTAAAAATACTCTTTGGTACGATTTTTAATTTCATTATGTGATATTTAGAAGTATACTCGTGGCTGAGTATTTTTCAACCCTAAAAACACCTATTCACAAAGACTTCTAAGTTGGGCTTCAACAGTATTGTCACTTTATTGGTTACTCTACTATTTATTATAAGCATCAAAACCATTTCTGTGCTTCAAATGACTGTATTTGCCTGATAAGATGACCCTTATTTCCCAAAGAACAGAACAGAAATGAAAAGGTTAAAACAATTGTCACAGAGTGAATCCTACCCTAAAGTACAGCTTAAAAAATGAAATCTGGACTACATATGTCCAGCTCTGACTATATGACTCTGCTTTGCACTAGGAAAACAAAAACCCCCACAGGTTAACTTTGCTACAGTTGTGGGGTAATAGGCATCCAGGGATCACTGCTCAGATAAATGAGTCCTGGACTACACCAACCCAGCAGTAACAGTTTAGTTTATTGCACTATTCATGGAAAACAAAGAAAGACTTGCAGATAATTTTTGGGATGTAATGGTGAACAGTTTTACATTCTGGTAATAAATCTGGGACATGAGACTAGAAGGTGAAACAATCTAGGTAGCCACACTGGTTGGCTTTAGATAAAGGGAAAATCAGAGCCTGACTTGGAGCTATGTAACTAGCAAAGCCACTGGCATGTTATGAAAACAAATTTATTTTAAAAAATTATACATAGTTATGACATTAGCCCCTTGGGTACAGAGGGGGCTCCATACTCAGACACCTGACAATGTAGAAGCCTGAGCCATCTGGGAACTGCTTTGCACAGGGATCATGCTGCCAGGAGCTGGACTGAGTGTCCCCTGGGTGTACAGTGCCAGCCTCGAATTATAGGGGCTGGGATTTTGTTATATGTAAGTGTGAAGAGTTTGAGTGTTATAGACTAGGATAGAAATTGCTATATGTACTCATCCTGCTTTGAAAAAAAATGTTTAGGTCAGAACTCACTTAAGTGATGTGCATCTGTTATTGTGACTACCCCAAATTCCTCCATAACAACAATTCAGTAATGAACCACTTCTCTCCAACCCTTTGCATAACCCTGTGTGTACTCTTCTTCCCTAGTAGTATGCTAGCCCTATTGCACATCATTACTTCTCACCCCTGCATATGCCATTACCCTAGTTGCAAGCAGAGCCCCACACATTCAAGCTCCTTTACCATACCTCTCATTGATTAGTGTAGCTCTGCAGGTTAACTTGCTTGGTCTGTTTTTACACACATTTGTCTATGCTAGCACAGGATGCAAGCAAAGAGCCTCTTTCATTACAGAACCTAGTGCAGTTATACTTTTTATATTTTTATATAACTAGGACCTGAGGAAACAGGTACAGATTCTAAATTTGATCATACTTGCTCCTTAACTCTGCCTACTCAAGGCAAACAGGATTGCAGATAACAACTTCAGGTCAGAATGTTGTTTCTGTTCACTTACCAAAGTCCCACCCACCAGCAAAACTCTGCAAGGGACCATATTCATCTGTTAGATGCAATCCTCAAAAAGCCACAGCCAAAGTAATTATTTTAAATTTTTGCATAGTTTAAACCACTTCAGTTATATCCTATTTAATACACCATTCCCAAAATCAAAACATTTTAAATAAAGATAAATAATAAGAAAAAGTTACCTGTTTTATTGCATAATGATGAGGCAAACCACCAATAAATATGGATCCTGTTTCAAGCCAATATGAAGTGGACCAGAAATTTCTAGATGTACTTGTCTTTTCAGATATCCTCAGAACTGACATTTCTGCTTCACAAGGTACCATACCTTGCCTGCATAAATTTAGAAATAGGCACATTTTACCACCATAAATAGTTTACATTACTGTCTATCTGAAAAATTAATTGAGCTGTTACTAAACCAATGAGTAAAGAAAATCAAGTAAATAGCTGATTTTATATTAAAGACTATAAACATTAAAGAAGCTGTTTAACAAGCTGTAAGTTGGTATGTCTTTGGGGTTTGACCATCCATTAAAATGAAACCATATTGTAAATCTGAGCAATGTAACTGCTAAAAGGGCCAAAGCACATAACAATGGCTGAATAAAAAAGTTAGACAATTTTTAACAAGAAGGCTTTATAATTTGAAAAAAAAAGACATCTGTTGACATCAAATATTTGATATATCCTTCTTTTTTCAACACAAAAAGTTAGCCCAGAAAATCAATTTAAAATAAACTGCATTTTAGAAAGTGCAGATGTACTGTCATCTGCAATACTTACCTTCAAAAACAGCATTCCTGAAACTGAAGGCAGTAACATTAAGCCCTTAAAATAATATATATGTTCCCTTCCTCCCCTTCCCCCACCATGCACACACCCTCTTAGCAGCATCATAAACTGTTAACAGTAAACAGAAAGTGCAAAGTAAACAATTTGGATTACTTATTTTTTTTAATTATGCAAACCTCATTTACATACTGATAACCAATTGACAGCAAGCACATTGTCTTCATGAAAAAAAACACAGGAAAGAAACAGCAGAAGTGAACAAGAGTCTCCTGTAGGAATTTCTCTCAGCCTAACCACGATATTCACACAAAAAAAATCTGAGTTTAAGCAGCTGTATGTTTAAAAATATTCCAGTGCCTCTTTAGTATAGATGCCACAAAAAAAAAAAAACAACCCACCACACAACTGTGTGAAAATAACACAGACACACACACATACATATAAAAAGGCAAAAAAAAAACCAAAACAAGAAAAACCCAAAACTATAAAAGCAACAGTCTGTAATTTATTTAGGATGCTCTAAGTATGAATTCAGTTTATCTTTTATAATGCAAAATTAGGTTCTGAAACATCTTAGTTATAAAAACAGCATAGAAATTTTCTTCACTACCTTCTGTCAGATAATGAAATATAAAGGATTTCTCACATACTATTTGATAAGATGTTCTATCATTTTTTAAATTAAGAGTATGGAGACTTCACATTTGCAACATTTGCAGACAGTTCTCTATGTTTGTTTTCCATATAATTCTGTTAGTGGATACTTCCAGGAAAATATGCAAACATGGTACTACCCTTTTAACAGAAACAACTATAAATGTTTTTCCAAGCAAAATGGCCTGTTTAACCTAGGGTAAATAACTTTGGATAAAGAACATAAATTTTTCTTGTTAAAATCAAGACTTAAAAATAGAAATAAATTTGGTTTTTAATTGTGTGGACTATAAATAAACTTCTTAGAGGACCAGTTCAGGAGAATTTTTTTCTTTTGTTTTCACCTCAAGGTTGGTAATTAATAACATGAATTAGAAAAAGGAGAAATCTGTAGTCAGAAGTGCAGCCAAGGAAAGGAATGTTTTGTAGTGCATTTTGTAGATATTATAGAATGGTTGTATGTCTAAGCACACACATGAGGTTCTGCAGCACGCCGTTTTCAGTATTTGCTTAGAAAGGAGATAAGGAGATTTGTTTGTATGTCATACACGCATTCTCAGTAGTTCTGTTTGCAATGATCAAGTAGTTTTTACTAAGACTTGAACCCAACGTGACACCTTGGATATATTCATTTTATAACAGAAAGCTATGGTGAGATTTTTAAGGAAAAAAAAATTGATTTTTAAATATCTAAAATGTCTTCTCTTTCTGATAATATGATATAATATCAATAAATGCATAATATTAGGACAGCAATCTTTCTGAAATATTTTAAATTAGACCTGGTTTAATGCAAAGTAATTTTTAAGAATGGAGTAGAAGAGGGTCAGGAGGGGAACTGATAGGAATTTTTTATTTTTCAAACTAATTAACAGATATGCTAATTAAATGAAAGCTGCCCAAATTCATTTATTATTTTAAAATTCCTATTTCTTCTATACATTTTGATAACTCTGATTCCTTGACCAAGTACGTACTTCCATTACACAAGCATCCTATTTCTAAATGTAGTTCTTTTCAATTAGCTTGATATGTATTTGTTAGCTTGTCCTTAACAGCTAATATGATGGATATGCAGAGGTATTATTGTGTGCATATATAAACATATTTTGAAATTAATTACCAGTACTTTATGTCAGAAAACAAGTTAATGCAATTCAATAGCATCAGCTGCCTTCACCCTAAGCTTGTTAGAATGTCAGCCATGCACCTTTGATTGTACTTAATTGAATCTAGCAGGGTCTGGCCAAATTAGAATAACAACCATAAACCATTATTGTTTAGCATTTGCTGATAATACAATCAATGGGTTATATATGCACTCCATGAAATTTCCATCAGGCTTTTAAAATTCTTTTTCAGCAATAAACACATTGGGTGCTTTAAAGGTCAAGTAAGAAGACAGAGCTTTTTGCATAATTATAAATGTGGAAATACATACAGCGATTCTCAAGCACTTTTGCTGGGTAAGCTACCAGTAATTGTGCCTCAGTCCAACCCAGCAGTAATAGTTCACACTTTCTTTAGTTGTACTCAACATAAATGTAATGATTAAAGACTGGCCTATTAATTATAACCTGCAGATGAGTTCTGTCTAAACAGTATTAAATCCATTGCCCAATGCCTCGCAGGTTGGAAGGATGGAAAGGTCAGATAGATAATAATTTGATAGCTGTTGTGATAAGGGTACCTAAACATGACAATGAAATCTAAAATCCTTTTACATAATGACCTTACTTGCTGACATTTGTAAGTGATGATTAAATTACATGTTTGGGATTGTCATAAAATGGTAAAAAATTAATAAAACAACTGGGGGAAGAGGAGGAGGGAAAGGGGGGAGGTGTCCCGATAAAGTATTGTCAGTCAGGCTATGCATTCCTGGGAATCTTCCATATCTTTGATATGGTGATCCTGATCAGAAAGGGAAATCTCTTGTTCTAGAAACAAGATTGAAACTTACACCCAACTCTAGCAATTCCACTTTGAAGGTGACCATGCTAAACCACAACAAACAATTCACTAATTGCCCCTGAACTATTTAGGATGTAATGGGTTGAACATTCAGTCCATTAAACAAAAAAACAACAGTAGGTTTGCAAACAGCTACACAAACATGAGTTGTGAACTACAAAAATTAAAGAGGGTTTATTATCATATATTCTAAAAAACAATCCCAAATTTCCCTGATTTTATTAAGACAACTGATTAACTAAAGCTAAGAAACATATTTCATTTTCACTGTGTTTATTATTTTACATATTTCTTACCTTAAAATAATCAAAGCAAATTCATGTTTCCCTCTGTTTTCACTGAGTATCTAGTAGTTTGAATTTTCTGGTTCTATATTGAAATTGCTCCTTGCAGTTGAATGTTTATTTTTGTAAAATTGCAGGGAAAAAAGAAATAGACCTACTGTCACAGACAATTAAAAGTTACATTTTCTTAATTCACTTTTTGACCAGCACTGGTTTTGAAATCCTTAAGGCTTAGCAAAGGTGTTTGAGACAACTTACTGGAACATCTGCTCCACTCTGCTCAGAGAGATTGCGCAGGTTTCATCCTTGGAGGTTTTCAAAACCTGACTAAATAAAGCCCCTAGCTACTTGGTCTGACCCCTTGGCTGGCCCTGCTTTGCACAGAAGGTTGGACTAGAGACCTCCTGGGTCCCATCTAGCCTATGATTCTACAATCCTGCGACATTTTCCTTTTGCAAAAAAACGCTGAACCCTCTAGTAACCAGCTTTAGATAATAAGGCAGAATCTCATATTACCCTCAGCGTATTTATTTAGATAGAAAATATACCAGTTACACTCACAGTCATTAAACTTTCTCTCCGCAGTAACATGCATGATTTTAGACAGCTGGCATCTACTGCTGTTGACTGTGCCTTGCGGAGGCAGCAGGCAACACCTGCTTTCATGTTGCAGTTGAACTAGAATCAACAATGTATCTTTCCTCATTCCCTCTGACCGCAGGCTCATAGCTCCTGGTCCTGGAGCTGATTTCTTGATCTAGTCTTAGAGAGCGATTTAGCTAAATAAGTAAGAAAAAATAAGCTAATCACAAGGCATGATGTAAATTTCTCCAAGAAATTGGAGTGGGGGTGGGAGGAGAGAATTCTAAGGAATGAATAAATACGGTACACTCTTATTCTTTTCACAGAGGTTAAACTTACATTACTTAACTAAAAAGGTCCACAACATGAGTTCCTGCCCTGACAGATATTACTCCATATTTTTATGAATTTATCACAATTCCTGTTACAGTTGCCACTCAGGCTAGCTGCCACTTCCAATTCTGAAAGTGAGCAAGTTCTGCGGTCAGCGCAATTCATGAATCATTCCTGGTTTAAATGTTGCCAACCTACTTTACAATAAGCACTTTTATAGACATGATCTGGAACCTGCTGGCTGGCCTCAGGTACAGAGAATAGTCTTCAGATTTCAGTTTTATTTATTGCTACAGATTTAGCTAAAGAAGAAAAACAATGATCTATTCCTCTGGCCATTTCTGTCATTGCAGTTTGGAGAGCTTCAAGTTTCCGGCTGTTCACATTATAACAAACTTAAATACTATTTGCACAAATTATACCTAGAAAACATGCATTTATTTCAAGTTGATGTAGATGTAAATACAGTGTAATTTGTTGAAAAGCTTGGCCTAAATGAAAATACTGTATTAAAATATCCAGACAGTGGCAAGTTTAGTGTCAGATCTAGACTTGCAACACTGACATTTTATTTCAAGTGAAACTGAACGTCTTTAATGAATAAGATAGTTACACAATGAAATTCATATTTACAACTCTGGAGGCCAGCATTATTTCTGTGCTGTATACACCCCAGTCTGTGTTCTCCTTAATATAATTTCTGTGCTTCTG